CGCCACTGCCGCTGCCGATCGCCCCGCGCCGACCCGCGCGATGCGGTACCGGACCGTACCGTAGGTGCTGGAAGCCGCGCTGGACCTGGTGCTGGCTCTGTGCTCGCACGACGGCGCCGCGCTGCGCACGCTGTGCCACCTGGGCTTCATCCCCGCGGTACTGCGCTTCGCCCTGCCCTCCAACCCCCCATACCTGCGCCACCAGGTGTTTAGCCTGGCTGCTGCCGCTTGTGCCTGCACGTGCTGTTGGCTGCCGTTTCTGTGCTTCTGCTGAGCTGCCTCGGCTGCCATTTGTGCACGTGTATGGTGCTGCACAGGCTGTGCTGTTTCTGTGCGCTTGTGTTGTGCTGCACTGGCTGTTATTTGTGCGGGCAGGAGAGGTGTTTGCATTTGGGTTGCCAGTTGCTCGAGTCCTCCAGGTGCTTGCCTCCCCTCCTCTGCCCTCGAGCATCGGCCTTGGGGACCTTGCGCTTCCTTCCGTTGCTCTCTTCACTCCTCTTGCTCCCGCAGCCAAGCTGGGTGCTCCACGCCGCACACCCCACCCAGCGTCTACTCGCCCTGCTCCCACCCTACCCCACCCGTCGCAGGCCGCGGCGTTTGCGGGCCTGCTGTGCCGCTCCTGCCCCGCCAGCGCGGCGCAGCTGGTGGCCTGCCAGGGCGTGCCCTTCCTGCGGTGAGACGCGGTACCATGGTGTTGCAGTACCGTGGGCATATGTGCCACCCTGTGTGTGGCGCATGGCCGCCTGCCTTGCCCCGTGGCACGCCCGCACACACACACACAACACACACACACACACACACACCGCCTGCCTGTGTGCCTCCCCTTCCTCCCGCTGCAACCCGCGCTTTCCATCTCAGCACCCACATGCCTCCCTGTGAGATACCTCCCGCTGCCCACCCCACCCTGCAGCGACATGATTGACGAGCCGCCTCAGCCCCACCACCCCCCCTCAGCCCCGCAGCAGCTGCAGCAACAGCTGGAGCTGGCGTCCGCCGCCGTCTCCTGCTTCTGGCTGCTGCTGCGCCGCGCCGGCCTGCGCCAGCCCGGCTGGGCGCTCAGGTGGGTGCTGCATGCTGCTGGGTGCCGCCGTCGCTGGGTGCTGCATGCTAGCTGCTGATGACAGTGGCTGCTGCTGCTGCAGCAGCATGCTGCTGTTGCTGCCGCCGCGGCTGTCACCAGCCGGCTGTTGCTGGCTGGCCAGGCCCCGGGGGCACGCCCTGCTGCCGCCCGTGCCAGGCCTCCCACACGCGTGCGCATGCAGAGGGGCCTCTGCGCAGCCAGCACGCAACTTGCCTCCTTTCGACGCCGTGTGTGTTCACCACCCGCGTTTGACCATCCGCACCTTTGACCGTCCGCCGTTGTCCGCCCTTGCCCGCCTGCAGCCTGAACCAGCTGCTGCGCTTGCTGGCCCACCACAACCTCCCCCTCCGCCTGGTGCGCCTCCTGCCCCGCCTGCTGCCCGCGGCGGCGGCGGCCGCGGCGGCGGCCACGGCCGTGGAGCGGGCGGCCGAGGCGGCGGCGGCGGCGGCGGCACCCGTGGCGGCGCGCCACGCACGCACCCCGAGCTTCCCGCAGGTTGGTGCTTAGCTTTCCACCTCCTGTCTGCCTTGCTTGCTTTGACCCGGCTGCCCAGCTGCGCCTGGCTGGCTGCTGCGCTGCCGGGCTGGCTGGCTGGCTGGCTGGCTGGCTGGTCGGCGGCGCAACACTGGTGTCCTTTGCCGTGTTTGAAGCGACCTGCCGCACCTGCCTCCGCCTCCACCTCCGCCTGTCTGTTGCCTGTTGCTCCCCTGATAGAAAAAACTCAAGTTTATCATTTTAATATAATACTATTGGGTGCCGCTGCAGATGGAGGTTGAGGTGGCGCTGCTGGCTGCCGACGAGCTGGCCAGCGCGGCCGCCAGCCTGGCGCTTTCCTCCCGTACCGGTACCGGCGGTACCGGCAGCGGCCCCGAGGAGGACGGCTACGGCGGCGGCGGCGGCTACAGCAGCCCCGGCAGCGGCACCAGCAGCCCCGGGCGCACGCAGCGCTGGCTGGGGCGCGCGCTGCCCGGCAGCCCCAGCAGGTGTGTGGGTGCTGCTGCACAGAGACAGAGGGTGCATGCATGCATGCGTATGTGTGTGCATGCCACTGCAAATGGTGTCGGAGTGGGGTGGGTGGAGGTTTGGGCTGGCAGGCGCCTCCGGCGCACACTGCAGGCACACACACAGCCGGCTGCCCTGCCTTCCTTGCTCTGATCGCCAGCCCACCACCCCA